GCACGTGGTACTGCAGCATCAATTGGAAATGTTTGCTAGCAATACCTGCTCTCTCTTGCTGGAAAAAGGATATTTCACCTGGCACTACTTCTCCAATCAAGATTAAAAATACAGGAAGGCCATTTGAAGCTATGGCTTGCATGAAATTCTCTGTGAACGTTTAAAGGGGAGAGTAGTCCTAAACTCAGTCTCCCTTCATGAGGATGATTTTAATCTTGGGCCACTGAATAAAGAGGCTTTGAACTTCTGCTTTCATTTTGGTATGAACACTTTTTGGCAGAGAAGAGCACTGCTGTCAAGACGAGCCCAGGCTGAAATCACTGTCTTTTTAGAAGTAGTATTTGGAGTCTTTTTTTATGTAATGGCACTCAGCTGGGATGGATCTAAACCAGTGTTTTGACATATAATGATGGCTTTCAATCAAGGTTTCTCATATATTGACTTAAGCAGTTGCTGAGTGGATATACTTGGGATAGGTTTATAAGAATTGGGGAAAACAGTTTACTTTCTCAACGTAACCTTTTGTAGTGCAGATGAGTTCTTGATTGGACCCAGGATTGTAGTTCTTACACTCTTAATTTCAGTATTTGTTTTTAATCTTTATCTGAAGGTTAAAGTACCAACCAATGAAACAAACTAGCTTAAATAATGCAAGTCCCAAATGTAGCATTTATTATTCAGGAGTGTATATAGGCAGATGGTGTGGTGGTTTGTTCCGCACCCCCCCCACCCCCCATTTTTTTTTGGTGGAAAATAAGGGTGTATATCTTTGAGGAGTCATTTTAAAGAATTACCATACTGCATTTGTGTTCAAACTGGAATGCAACCCAAAAAGTAGTACACAAAAATTGTGTACTAAGAGGCACAGATTTCGGGAGGAAAAAAGAGTGTTTTGTGTATGCAAACAACATGTAAACAAGTGTAATATTACTTGTGTTAAATTGAATTTACTGTTCTGGTCACTAGAACTTCTAGGCTTGAAACCAACTTACTCTGCTTTTCAGCTGCCAATTTCCTGACTTCTAATTAGTTGCTGAACCCAGGGAGTAAGTAAACAGAAATAAGGAAAATCTCTGCATTTGAAGAAGCTACAGCTGTTAGGATCAGAGTTGAACATTTCAAAACATGTTATTGAACTGATTGGACAGTCAGGTGCTCTGAGTGTGTCTTTGAACTGTTACTTGCTAACACCTGTTGTTTAATAAAGATTTAATTTCTTGTAAGTTTATAGAGACTGTCAGTTTCTACAAAAGCAAACTGTCATGGGGGTTTTTTTTTTAGATTTCATTTAGAAAACCATGTTCTCTTTATTTAATCATTAAAAGTTAAGCATTCTTCTGGGGTAATTTGAGGCCTGCAGCTTGATTCATATAAGCTTTTGTCATCTGTCCAAGATCTTATCCCTTTTCCTCCCCAGTGAGACAGTGAGGACTGTTTATGCCTGGCCAGCTGAACAGCTTTACAGCCTTGAAAGGTGGAAGAATGTAAAGAAAGAGATGCAGTAAGGACAGTAGAGAGAATTGCGTGCTGCTCTTCGCTACTTCTCATGAGGCAATAAATCTTCCTAGCTTGCCCTAGTTGGTTGATTGTTAAGACGTTGACGACACTTCCAAATGTATGGCAGAGATGGTGGATAATAGTACTGCACCTCTTCAAGAAGTCAGTCTGCTGACTATCGGAAGTCCTTCTGCCTAGAAAACTTAACTTTCTAACAAATAAAGAATACCTTTGGAGTATATAACAGCTCTGTGGTATCTGTCAGCAATATTGCCAGACAAATGGCTAATACTGCAGTTCAGTCAAAAACTCTGTCATATGAGGTAGATGGCATTGCATGTACAGACTTTTAAAAAAAACAACCACCACCACCCCCTACCAAAAACTTAAACTATCTTTGGTTTTGATTTACTTACTTTGAAGTTAGATAATAACTTTCAGAATTTGGATGGGAAACTTTTTATGGCACCTGGAGATTTTAGTTAACTTTGCCTCTCACTGAAGATGCATATACATGGGACCACTAGGAATATTTTTGTTTGGTGTATGTAGGCTTACTCATCCTGTTTCATGTTCATTATACTGATTATTTAGTTGGCGTGTGATAATGTTGTAGCATGATATGGGGGGTTTTTTGCATGACATCAGCTTATGTGGACATAGTGCTTCTTTTTTTGCCTTCAAAAACTGAAGACTTGTCGCAGTGAGTGTGGATGGAGCTCTAGACATTGTTTTGTACATCTTCTTTAAAAAACTTATGACCTATGTGCTTAGTTTGGGTTGCTGATTTTAATTTTTCTTCTCCGTTTGCTTTTTCATATATTTTCCACGTATTTGTGCCAACCAGAAGCTTGTAGTAGAAATGTTAAAATTGGTATGAATGGAGAGTGAATGGGAATATACACACACGTGTGCGTGTGAGCATGTGGAAGCACCAGACAGAATGAAAAAAAGGAGTCATATGAAGGCGTGTAAATCAACTGGTGTTGATACCTAGACTAGCAGGTCATTGAGGTCACAGACCATCTACACGAAGTTTCTGAAGACACTCAGATAAGGAAAGCAAGGGACAGCATTCACACAAATTAAAACTAGGCTTAAACCATTAAGGTGATTGCAGAAGACAAAGAACAAGGCTAGAGCCTTAAGACATCCTAAGGAGGAGACAAAAACAATCGATAACCTTTAGTGACTCACAGAGGAGGGGCAGCGTGGAGAGAGACAATAAATCGGGAAATATGCAAAAGGAGCACATGGCTGCCAAGCGAGGAAGAATAGAGAAGTCCGAAGTACTTGTTGATAGCCAGGGTCCTCTGTCCTCCATATTGCTGCATGGAGTCCTGACCAGGCTTCCTGGATGCACATCTTTGCAGCTGAATGCTGGACAGACTATTTGGACGTGTGTCTCTGTGCTTTTGAGTATGTGGTGTGAATGGTGTGAAATGTGTTTTCTTTTAAAATAAAATGACCTTCCCCTTATTGTGATTCCAGTACAGAGAAGACACTTGTAACCCGCTTATGGAATATCTGCTCAGAAAGTGTGGTTTAACCTCAGTTGGCAACTGAGCACCACACACCCGCTTGCTCACTCTCCCTGTCCGTCCGTTGTCGTCCCCGTCCCCCCCACCCCCCGGTGGGATGGGGGAGAGAATCAGAAGAGTAAAAGTGAGAAAACTCGTGGGTTGAGATCAAGTCTAATAATTGAAATAAAATAATAATGATGATAGAATATACAAAGCAAGTGATGCACAATGCAGTGCCCCCCCCCCCCCCAAACGATGCCCAGCCAGTCCCTGAGCAGCGGCCCCCCAGCCAGCTTTCCCCAGTTTATGTGCTGAGCGTGACGTCACATGGTATGGAATATCCCTTTGGCCAGTTTGGGTCAGCTGTCCTGGCCGTGCCCCCTCCCAGCTTCTCGCTGGCAGGGCACGGGAAGCTGAAAAGTCCTTGACTAGTGTAAGCACTACTTAGCAACAACTAAAACATCAGTGTGTTATCAACATTATTCTCCTGCTAAATCCAAACCACAGCACTGTACCAGCTACTAGGAAGAAAATCAACTCTATCCCAGCTGAAACCAGGACAAAGCGGTAGCCTTCAGGGCTTAAATGTGTATGAAACTGTTTCCCACTTTCTTAATGTTTGAAATGCCTAAGGAGTTTAATTTCTTTTTGTATTGGGTCTGGTGTACAGCCAAGGTAGCCAACCCACCACATTTTTGGAGTTGGAATTTAATTTGTGTCTTTTCAAAACAAACAAAACCAAAACAAACCCTGATAAACTATTTAGCATTGCTTAGTGAAATTTAAGACTGTTCCTCTCTTGGTAACAGCTTGCTACTCTATTACCATTGAATTAATGGCACAAGTTGTTTATCTTTAAAAATGTAGATCCAAGTTGACTGAGAAGGTGAAGAATATAAGGTTATTAAGCAAGCCAAGACTGTTAGTTGGATTTTTTTTTTCCCTAGTTGATACCTATATGTTAAGTTGATACTTTAATTATTTGTGAATACTTTTTTTTTTGCATGTTTTACCAATTTTGTGGATTAGTCTGTTAAGTGAAAAAGTTGCCATGCAGGAATCTCATTACTGCACCCTCTTGAAACCTTGACGAAATTCTCCTTTAGGTATTGCTAATGCTGACAACGTGCTGTAATGCATCCAACTTTTTATCTCTGAGGAAGACAATTTAATGCTTTTGTGTGTGTGTGTTTTTAACACTTTTTTTCAGGAAGGACCTTTAAGACCTGTACTTGAATGCATTGATCTTGTCAGTAGTGAGGATGAAGAACCTAACAGCAGTTCTTATGTTCACGTGAGTATGTTGTAATGTATTTTGGGACCTCTCATTTGAATAAAATAACTAGTCTCTTGTATTTTTTCCCATCAGTTACTCTTCACAAAAAACTTGTTAGAGGTATTTTTAACAAGTAATAAATAAATAAACCAACATTAAAGTCTCTTCATTTTTACTTGCTGTTGAGTCGAAGGCAAGAATGCCAACACTTCATTTTTTCGAGAGCCATTTTTTGCCTTCTTGAAATGGACTTGGAACTTTTAGTTGGCTTTCAGTGGTTTTAGCAAGTGTGTCGAAGAAAAATGTCACTTTACAAGTGACCTCAGAAGTCAGTGTGTCCAGTCTCTAGCCCGCAAATGTATCTGGCCTACTCCCAGGCCTTTTCCTTCTAAAACAACTTTTTAGGAGCAGTTTATAGGTTGGAGGACCTTATTCTGATGACAACCTGGTCTTAATTCAGCCTCGTTCTTCATAATGCCTCCTAAGAATGTATGTGTCAGAAGCAGGCTGGTCAGTTCATGTATCCCCCAAGCTTATTGTGCTTACTCTGCGGGGCCTTTGAGAGGGACAGTGACTGAAAATGACTCTGCTAGAGTTGTTTTTGGCAGCCGTGGCCATCTCTTGACTTCTGTTTTCCAGTGTTGCACTAGAGGATGTGTAATAAACATGGTTCTTAAGGAAAGATGGGCCTTCTGTACATGCACAGGCTCACTCCACAGTGATGACTGCTAGAGCTGATCGTGTAGCAGGAGCAAACTACAGTGTATGGCCTATCCCTTATGCTAGAAAAAGCTAATCTGCCTTTCTGAAAATACCGGGCAATGTTTTAGAGCAAGAATGGTATCAGTTCTCAGTTTTTCAGATGGGCTGCATGTTGGCTTTGAAACCATTAGGAATTTTGTTTACCTACTTAGAAGAATTTACTTAACTTTTAATTTGTTGGAGACTTCTAGGACACCCAGCACAATCATCCATGTTCCTTCTAGTGCTTTGATGAGACTAACGTTGATGTTGAATTGCCTTGAATATGTAGGGGGGTGGGGGTTGTTCTGTTTTTTAACAGAAGTTACAGATACTGGTAAATAGGAAGAGAAAACTAGCAAGATAGATCATGGAACTTAGGATTGGAGTATCTGTACTGAATTATGTCCTGATGCTTGGGCATCACTTTTCACTGTATTAATGCCTGTTACTTAACAATTACCAAATAAAAGTTTAACTTTTCAATTGTAGAGAAATACAAAGCGTAAAGATCACATTGACTATCAGAAAGAAAGAGTTGCGTCAACCTTGGATCGTCTGGCACGCCATGTTGAAGTAGAAAAACAGCAAAAAGAAGAGAAAAACAAAGCCTTTAAGGTATTGGATGTATTTTGTTTCAGCAGCATTGCATAATACAGGCCTTGTAGTCATGAGTGTGTGTGTTTTCACTACTAACTAAATAAAAAGATTGGTGAGCCAGACCTGGACTTAGCAACTAGAGATTTTTGCTTCTGGGGCATCGTTTGAAACATAATACGGGCTTTGTCCCTTCAGTGGCTTTTAACTGATCAATTTGCTAGTCTTACTGCAGTTCCTAAGAGGGGGGAAAAACCCCGAACTTCATGCAAGCCAATGGCAAAAACTTGTTCTCTTGTTTGTATGTATAGCAGAGGGACCTTAGCATCAATTTTTCTGGTTAAATAATTGAAAAATAACAGTTATCAGAAACCACCATGCAGCAAACCTAGTTATCTGCCTGCTTTTGTCTGAGATTTTTGGGAAGCCGTTTGCCACACTAAATCTCTGTATCAGGTAATATTTTATAATGGCATAAAATTTTCCATGTATAAGGCAAATTTTAAAGTTGATTCCTATTAATTGTATTGTGCAACCATTTGAAAGCCATGGATTTTTTTTATTTTTATTACAAACTGGGAGGTGCAGTCAATAGACTTGAAGGTAGGCCTGCTATCAGTGGGACCTGGACAGCTTGAAGGAATGGGCTTACAAGAACCTTATGAAATTCAACAGGGACAAATGCAAATCCAGTATTTGTGGAACATGCTGACTTTGCAGTGTAATTTTCTGAACACTGTTAATGGCTTTTAAAGTCACATAATTGTACTATAGTTACAGCTTGTTACAGTCTACAATAGACTATGCAACTGTAATACAACAGAGTAAAAGGCTGTTAAATATAGTCCAAGGTAGTCTTGAAGTCCAGAGGCCTACATCCCTCTCCTGTCTCCTCCACTTAGAATTTGGTAATCTATTAATGTCTCCACATACAGTTTTTCAACTGTAAAGTGGAGTCAGAGATAGCTGTGTAGCTTTTAAAGTAGTCTGAGAATGAAGGCTAAAAAATCCTTTTGTTAATGATGAATATTTTCCTGCTGGGCGGCTCCTCACTTCTCATCAGGTAATGCAATCTGCAGAATTATAATTACTCTTTAAAGTGAAACTGCCTTTTTTTTTTTTTTTTGCCTCGGCAGTGGAATAAATTGACTTTCTGGTTTCAATAATCATTTTGTGTTGCCTTTTTTTTTAATTTCATTATTATTTGTTTCTTTTTATAATCTTAAAAATCTTCTTGGTTATGTACATGCTTCAGAAACTTCAGTAGGTGCAGTAATAGTAAATTAATTGACGTAAACTGTAGCTTTCATTAGGGGCACGAAAATTAGTACTATTTTTCAATTTTTTTAATTGTTACATTCCATCTTTATTATGTTATATAGAAGTCAATCAAGTTGTAAGTTTCCAACCCCCCTGCCCCCCTTAGGTTTTTGTGGTTTTTTCCCTTAGGTTTTTAGAGACCCATATGTAAATTTTGGTATACATACTTAATCTTGAAATTTTTTTTTTTTTTAATTTGATCGCCACCTTGCCTGATATGTTTTCCCCTTCAGGAGAAAGTTGATTCCCAATATGCTCACGGGTTGCAAGAACTAGAATTTATTCGGGAACACAGTGACACAGAAGCTGCAAGATTATGTGTGGACCAGTGGTTAAAAATGCCAGGTAAGAATAGGAAGCTAAGTTTCAGTGATACGTTTTTTAAATTGTGCATTGCAGAATAGAACATGTGATAGTTGCATTGAGCAGTACTGACATTGAGCTTGCAGGTGCCTCTTATGCATAACCAAATTTGACAATATTAACTTTGCTAGAGTGTGGCATTTGAAAGTTCTTATACACTCACTTCCATAAAAGCTATTATTCTAACGTTTTGCTGCTTAAAAAATTCTAATATACAAAGTCTAAAAACCACTAAGGCAATGTTAACTACTTATATAAGCAAAGTTGCTAGAAGGAAAAATATTAGTGTTGAACTGTTGCTCAGGAAGATGTCTACATAAGTAAGTATAACTTCAGGAAATTCAATCAATTTAAAATATTGCCTGGAGGACCTGGACGAAGGGTGTCAAAGTGTTTGAAAAGTAATCCTGCTGGGGATTGAAGAGACAGATTCTTAAACTGAAAGAGCAGACTTACTGCAGTAGGATTGAGTTACAGTGCATTGTTAACTTGTTTTTAAGAATCGATACAACTTGATTTTTAAATGTGTTAGGACTTGTGTATTATTTTGTTTGTTTTCTCAAGCCTCTATAATTCAGATTCTGGATAAGTGCTTTGTTTGATAACACAGGTCTCAAACCAGGCACCATTAACAGTGGAAAAAGGGGTATTTATAAGAGGGCAGGTCAGACGCAAGTCAACAGCAGTCCCATATCTTGTCCTGTGATGCATTGCAACAGAGAGTTTGATAATGGACATCTTCTCCTAGGTCACCTTCAAAGGTAAGGACATAGTGCAAGAGCAAGAAATAATAATGAAAGAACATGCTTGAACTTAGGATGTCAGCATCAAGTCTACTTTAAACTGCCTATAGTGACAAAATTCCATTTGAGAGCAGATTAATATGTTATGGATTTTATATAGATGATGTGAGGAACTTCCTGGTTGGTTGTTTTTTTTTTTTTTTCAATCAGAATTGGTTTCTTCCTCTTATTGAGCATTTTTAATATTTTTTTGAGAAACAAGATTTCTGTTCTCCAGTTCTGTTATTTCTTCATCCAAACTTGAAAAAGAGCAAAAGGCTAATGTATACAACTTGATGTTAAGCTTTAAGATGAAAAAAATGCCCCTAATGAAGTGAAAGAGGAGCAAGAGCTATAGGCCAGACATCTGTTCATAGCTGATCATCGCTAGTCAGCACTCACTGTGTCTGGGGTCAATTCCAGCATATACTGCGTTTTAACTAGTGAATGTGTCATGGGGAAGACGGTAAGGAGAGAAGCTGAGGGGAGCGTTGTGGGTTAACCCTGCTAGGCAGCTCAGCCCCACACAGCTGCTCGCTCACTCCCCCCACATTTCGATGAGGAAGAGAATCAGAGGGTAAAAGTGAGAAAACTCTGGGCTGAAATAAAAACAGTTTAATAACTAAAGCAAAAGCAGCGCACGCAAGCAAAGCAAAATAAGGAATTCCCATTGGCAGGCAGGGCTTTATCATACATAACGGTTACTTGGGAAGGCAAACGCCATCACTCTGAACATCACCCCTTCCTCCTTCACCCAGCTTTTATTGCTGAGCACGGCGTCATATGGTATGGAATATCCCTTTGGTCAGTTGAGGTCAGCTGTCCCAGCCGTGTCCCCTCCCAGCATCTTGCCTAGCCCCAGCCTACTTGCTGGCGGGGCAGTCTGAAAAGCAGAGGAAGTCTTGACGCTGTGCAAGCACTGCTCAGCAGTAGCTGAAACATCTGTGTGCTATCAACACTTGTTCATAAATCCAAAACACAGCACCGTACAAGCTGCTACGAAGAAAATTAACTCCATCCCAGCTAGAACTAGTGCAGGGAGGTAAAAATAAATAAATTTTTTAAATCCCTCTGTAGGAAATCAAGGCTTTGTTAGTTCTCTTGCTCTTAAAAACAGTATGATTCCTCTGTAAAGTGGTCATTATAACAGGTAAGCTACAGGGAGAATCACCTCTTTACAGGATACTTCAACTGATACAGTTAATAGGGGAAGTGAGGAATTTTACAGTTAGGTTCATTTGATAGGTTCTTGTCCAACAGCTTCAAAAGACAGAATTTTTCCCATTAAAAAAAAATATTGACTATTTAGAGGGGACTAGTTTGTTAATTATTTCTTCCTTTCCAGGTTTGATCATTCTCCTTGTGACCCAACAGTCACATTACATGGACCCCCAAATAATGCTGTTGCCTGTGTGATATGCTGCAAAAGATTTTCAACCTCTCAGCAGTACAGTGAACATCTTTTATCTAAGGCAAGATCATAAGGATAAGTAATTCTCCTGACTGAATGTAGTAGAGCATTTTCAAGATGTATAATTATGCACTGATATTTTTTTCCTTTTAACCCTCTTTCTCTCCCCTCCCTTCTTTTAGTCTTCGAGATAGTTTTTCTTATTCTGCTGTATTTCAAGCACCTGGTGTATCCTGACAGTACTCCCATTAGATCTGGCCATTAGGTTGTACTTTACAGCGTACTTTCAAGAGGACCATAGTTCTGTTTTGAACCTCTTGTCCCTCTATTGGTGCTGTTAAAAAGTATTCTCTTTTTTTGCATCTCCAAAACTATGAAAGATAAAGGTGAGAAGTTAGGGTGAAATAAGTGATGGTAAAGAGAAGCGGCAGAAAGGCGATGAGGGAAAAAGAGGCAACAGAATGAGAAACTTGAGTGATTCAGATTCAACTCTTTCTTCTGTTTCCAGTCTCTGATAGATGTATTTGCTACTACTCACTAGTTAACTTACAGAAGAGAAAAGGATAATCTTAACATTTGAGTTTTGATTTGAATATAAGCTAATAGTATTTGCTTTTTTGTTGTTGTTCCTCCCTTTTCACTTCTTTTTTTTTTTTTTT